GCTGATGAATTGTACTTCCCACAAATATTTCCGCGTAATTATTACACAATTCTCCTAATTATGTGGGGTTTGTTATTTACATTATAAGAGTGCAGATTTTGGCTAGCTGTAAAGGCCGTGCACCACACAGGCAATCAAAAATGTGTTTACAACTCATTTGCGATCGACCGCATGCACAAACAGACCTCCAATTACCGTTCCCATATGGTGTGTCTAGTCCTGTGTATATACAGTACCATAGTCTGTTCTCACGTCAAATGCATAGGATGGCAGGCGTAACAGGGTTAGCTCCCTGTAAGGACGCAGTGCTAACACCATCAATTCACATACAAGGATGAGGCACTCGGGCCAGCTGAATCGGGTATGGTAAACATTGCGTAAGAGCTGTTACACAGCCGCAGCACGTCTTGCAGACAGCCTACCGGCTTGGACTCTAAGTGAGTTAGCGACAATAAGAGATGAATCGACAGCGGACATCAGTTCATACATGGGTGGACGGGGGAAGCCGAGCCATGGGCCTTTGTAGGACCTCCATCACTTGATTATCAGTACACAGTGCATAAACTCCTTCTGCCAAGTGGCCCACATTAAGTGGGATTAAGACCGTTGTCCCGAATAATTTCAACATGGCCCGTATTATTGCCCCATATATTGAGGAATGCTGTAAAATACAACACCACAATCAATTATTTTATAAGGCCACATGTTGGTGTCATAATAAGGTTTAGTTGATCCACTTTGCTTTAGTTAGTCCACGTAAAAACTACCACAATTTTAGATCGATTACTGATAATGTGTGTATTGCGATATTCTGATAATTATGACAGTACGTACATTTTATTACATACATGTGTACAACACGTACAATGTATGGTGGACTAATATGGCCGAGTGTTGAGCGATAACTAGATAGCAGTGAATGGTGTTAGGTGCATAAGGTCACATTAGCCCGACATCATGGTTAACTAGTGGCGACAATAACATCACGCCATATTGGCACTGGGAAGGTGATGAGGTCTCATATGGAGTTGTCCCCATAATTCCATAGTGGCAACCGCAGTAGAATACACACTGCAGCTATAACTGATGTAACTTAGGCTTGACGGAATATGTAATCCATCATCTCTAGTCACAAAACATTCTCTATCCCCAGTATAGGATATTTGAAGGCTAAAAACATGAGGAAATTACTCTGTGGGAAGCATAACTGTGGCTTGATGGGATATAAAATGTACCAAAATATACAAGGATCATTTTCTGATTACACACAATAATTCTAGGATACTTGAAGCCTAAAGAAATCCCTCTGTGGGAAGAATAATGATGCCAAGAAATATGTACCGACTTTTGGTTAGCCACAGTCAAATTAAGACTCGCTCTCTCCTTAAACTAGTGAGGAATATTTCTGCCCCAAACCAAGACATGAGGACATGCCAGTGATGAGGATTCATTACTCCGTACGGTGCAGTGCATGACTTGAATTTCAACCACAAACACACGAGGATGCTGCAGTATTCGTGCCTACACCCTTTGCTGTTGGCATAACATACATTATCATAATGTGTAACTATAGCAAAACAACCACAAGATTCGTAACAATTGTTCTTCACTTGGCAAGCATAAAGCCTAGTGTAGGGAATCGTGAGTTAGTTTGAATGTGAAATAGTACTGGTGATTCTTCACAGAACGATGTGCATATGAAACTCTTTCTACCTGTGTAGCCGTTCCACCACTAAACCGAACATTGCTGTTCCACAGCCTGTCTTTGCTTGGCATAAGAAATGCGAGACTGAAAAAACAGTTGTCAAACAGGCGAAGTTTCTCATTATTATGGTAGAATGCTAATCCACACCTGAGTGGACAGATGTTTATGTGTATCACACAGCTCCATACTAGGCCTTCAAAGGTAGGTGACAGCCTAAAGCAATGCTTTGAGTCTCCCTTTGCATGTATCCCATCTATTGCTACTTCCTCCTGCTTTGAGATGCAGGCAACTAGGCAATCTTCAAGTGTTTCACAAAAGCCTTTACACTTTCCACTTTTGTTATTTCTTCTTCAAATCTTTTAAAATGTGTATGTAACTTGTCACCATTAAAAAGTTACAGCTATAAAATTAGCTACTCAGTCTCAGAAAGAATGTAAAGCATAAAGTGTACACTTCTTGCAAAAATCACTCTTGGAGTTCCACTTATGTATAATCTCCAGCCGCAAAGCACACAATAATTTCATTATTCACAAAGCTGTGGAACAGCCAATACAGACTGTGTACAAGGGTCCTGAAAGTATACGTTGTGTCCACACACACTCGCAGTGTGTGCTAGACAAACGAGCGAGTGCCATATTGAGCCAGCGAGAATGCTCACACAAGGCAGTTAGTGGGAGCTGTCCATGCTCTATGTATGAAACACTAGGACACTACGTCCGCTATTGTTCACTCTACCTCTCGATCCCTCCCTCCCTCCTCCCTCTCTCCCCCTCTTGTACACAATACCAAACATGCCCACAGCAAATAAACACCCACTCTACAATGTCGCATACAAATTGCTTCTTATCTCAGTAGAGACGTGTTTCATGTACATCTACCATGTTTGGGAAGAGTGAAAAGTTTAGGACACATTTATAGTAGCATCAGGTTTACGCTTTGTTCTACAAGAGCTTGTGACCCACACACGCTGAAACACACAATTTTAAAGCAAACAGTAGCCTCCAGCATTGTAGAACATAACACACTTAGATAGCAAGAGGTACTGTGCTGAGGTCTGTATACATTTTCTTTATACACTCTCTTTTCAGTTTATCTGGCTTTGCATCTGTGCATTTGTGAGATGCATTGATTAATCTTATGTAATCAGGCAAATACTCTGTGTTAGCATGTACGCATGTGCTCTAAAACACATGTAAGTGTGAGCACACACACAATCAACTGTAAGGTGATGCACAATACTTTATACATTGTGGCGTTTGTGCTAAAGTGCATGTGGAAAGCTATTACACACATGTGTATCTGTATTGAGGAGTATATACATATAATATAACACTGCATGTAGATAACTTTCCCTTCTGTTAGCAGTATATAGGAAGCATGCATACAGTGTGACATATGTACAGTGTTCACCACAGACACCAGAAAATCACAGATCATTGGACAGTTCCTGGGAGATGCCCTTTATACAGAATGAAAATTAAAGGGAAGAAAATGGAATGGGAACAAAAGTAGGGTGCTTAGTTGCAAGTCAATGGGTAGCTAAGCATTAAAGTTGTTAAACATCGGGTATTATTTTGCCGTAACCCTTTGCATTTTGAGAAAACAAATTTCTACACTGGCAACTGCAGTAAAGAGAGTCATATGCTTGATTGCACGCACCACAGTACAGCTTATGAAATCACGAAACTTGTGTGACCGTACAATATACTTTTAGAAGGAACTCAGGCATTAATTTATGAGCGTACTTGTTAAAATTGGCATTAGGTACACACGTACATCACTAAGCCTGGACACCATAAGCTACTCCAAAATTGACTTTACATCATTGACTACAAGTGTGCGTAACGTGCAAACATGTCAATTGCACGGTCCCCAATTATGTACTGTAGTAAGTCGCACACACAAAAGAAACGAGGTGGCGAGGCTACAGGTCTCACAAAGAGATGAGAGGGAGAGAAGATGGACATAGCGTTGCTAGGTATGGACTGAAGCCCGCATGTAGTGTACATGGGTAATTGAAGCCCTTTAGAAGCATACATTGGAGAAAATTGTGCCCCAAATTTGTGCGTGCAGTTATAAGGCTTTTTGCCAAATTATACAAAGAACACTATTAGCCTCTACACACATAGGTATGTATCACATGGTCTAATACATTCATGTGATCCTGCATCTGAATCGTTATCGTACTCTCCATAATGAGGGAGTGAAGCACAAAGACTCATAACATGCAACAGATTTCTGTGTCTGCATCTTTGAAGCTCTAGGATCTGTTTATCTGCATGTGGGGCAAAATCTCCTTTTAAGGGTTGAGGACAATACCAAGTACCCCCCATGTGTGGTTCCATAATAGGGGAGATCTTCAAAGGACACAAACACACAGAGACACACAGATCAAAGCAAAGCTGCTTCATTTCTGAGGAACAAAACTCTGCATAATAACATGTATTATTACATCTGAACAGTATTATGCTACTGATGTGTACAGACTGCTATATAATGTAGCAATACATGTGAACATAGTGAATGGCCTTTTCTGGCACTGCCACATCTTACTACTTCTGACCTTCACTGTCTTACCACCAGGGCATACTTTGGAAAACTAAGGCAACATGTTTGAGGAAAGCCTAGCATCAATGCCGCTGTAATGTACAAACAGCCACACAATGAAGACGCAACAGAACGTGAAGATATTGCACGCTTGTTGCATAAGAATGCATAAACACACCACACTCAAAGACAATGCCTATGCAGTGTCAGTACTTTGAAAAAGGTGGTGTTGTCTTCCTTCATTTCCTGACGTTATCTTAGTCAGCACATCCTATTTCTCATGCATTGTTGACCTATGGCCCTGCCTCCATTACAAAGGAAGCTACTATTTTTTTTATGCACAATTGCAAGAAGCCTAAGCCCCATCATTTTCTAGAGCAATGTATATACCTATTATATTATACGGTTTGTTATTTCTAATCTGCAACATTGGTCGGTATTCCCTTATTTACAGCATCGTTCTTTGCAAGTAAGTTGATAAAACAAAACACCGATTATTACCACAAATTTTCTTCCCAGTGTTATGTGGGTGGTAACCTTACCACAAATTTTCTCCCCAGTGTTATGTGGGTGGTAACCTTACCACAAACACTTTAACAATAATTATTCATAAAAAAACGCATTAACCCTGCCTGTCTTCACAACCACCAGCATTCCTAAGTGCTAGACACTCGATCATTATTGGCAACTATGCCCCATGCAAATGCAAATTCCGGCTTTAAAGTTAACTTCAAGAAACTGTGCCAACCTTTGAAGGTGTCGGGGATAGAGCGAGGGGAGAAAAAGGGGACGTCCACCGGCCACCACTGAGGCTTGGGGTCCGACCAACGAATGCCTAGATCTTTGAGGATCCCCACGATGAGCGACTGGAGCGTACTCCGTCCCAGCTGGGAGAGGGGCCCGGGGAGCGGCGGTAGGATGAGATGGATCTCCTGGCTTCTCTCACTGCCCGACTCTGGCGCTTTGGTCTCAATGAGGTTCCTCAGAATCTCGTTCTTGTGCCTCTCCATCACGTCCGTGATGCGGCGGTCGCCGAGTGTAAACAGACTGCCCGTGTTCCTCACGGAGGAGTAGCAGAAGGCGCACGGTATGTCCAGCTCTTGGAGATCAGAGAGCTTCTTTTGGATGACCTCCACACGGCGACGGATGTCCCGGGCACGCATGTCGGAGAGGCGACTTAGCTGAGACATGCCGAGCAAAAGAGTCGCACTCGTGTGGTGAGGTATTAGTAAGAGAAGACAGAAGCTGGTATTATAAAAGCAGTGAGCAGACTGTGGAGCAGTTGTGTTAGGTGTTCATGGGTGGAGCTGAGATAAATCCTGAATGGGAAAAGAAAACTGTATGGTTATCTCCAATAACAACCATTAGGTATTGCTAGCTATACACACAGAGATAGGTTGTTCCACTACCATAGTTGGCTTTTGCAACATTATGAATGTGCTAAAACCGTGGTTGCAGCTAAGACAACCAGCAGGCCAATGAATCTTGCAACAGACCATTACCTGCCGGGCTAGCTACATCCTAAGATAGCGACACAGCAGAGAAGGCATATACCTTAGCTACTTTCATCCGCAGACTTCCAAACTTGTCATAGAATATGTGCATGCTAATACATAAAAGCAAGCTACTGCACAAAATTGAATAGCGAAGAAAAACGAGGCAATATCTGTGTAGCTATACGCCGCAAGAAAATGGCCTCAGCACACGCCACGTAGCCACAGTCGAGTCGCATACGAGTGGCAATTAGCAGCTAACTGCCTACGCATATCCAACTTTGTGCGGTCTACTCATAGCTAGCTAGCTAGCCTCCACTCACAGGGTAGGATACACTTTTTCCGTAGGCTCGTCTTCTCTACTCACATCTCAAAGGAGCTTGTGTTGTGGTCGCCGCGTCCGCGCGTTCGCGAGGAAATCGTTCTCACCTTCACTTCGATCAAAAGCTGGCGTTGATCTCTTCGACTGGCGATGAGATCCGCACTTCTGAAAGGCACAGTTAGAAAAAAAGAGAAGGTCGGTCCTCCGCGGCCGAAAATATCACAGTCAGCGCGCGAACGAGATGTTTGCGATGTGTATGCCAAATTTGGCACAGTCGTTTCCATGTATGGGGGACGACCTGGTAGTCGGCAATTATGTAAATGAACGCCTACCGCATGCCGTAAAAGGCGTGCAAAGACGCGCCCACAAAATATTTTAGCCCACGACAATTAACAATGTTGCGCAACTTAATGCATGCACGCGCGGATGCGCAGTATCCGGATTATTAAAGTACACAAGGGGAGTCCCCTTGGCCTTCCTGCACACACCCGCCCTCGCTAGATGCCGTGCGTTGCGTCTCCCCGTCGACAACCTCGCTCTACAACGTCGCACCAGTTCAAATCAAGTTCTTCGTGTGAGTGTGTGGATCAAGTTGGGTCATTGGACTTCTATACCTACCTGAGTGACTCTTGAGCTACAAAAAGTAAGTCAAATTAGTAAGAAACGTGTTAGGCTCGTGGCGATGACCGGCTACCATACCGAGAACACGAATGTCGAAGTGTACGTGTGTCTAGGAAAGCAACCGATACTGATGGAGTGTATATGTAGCCCTGGATGATTGTAAAAATGTGACCATTTTGTGCTCCTGTGCTTGGTTCAAAGCCCGAAGAGTACGGATGCGTTCATGTGTTTGGCATGCATGCATGCATGTACGTACCGTAACCCACATGGCCAACTGCAGGTCCCCCTTATAGGGCTAGGGGAGAACCAAACTCCTGCAGTAACAAGGAATAGTTGGGAGGTGATAATGGATAACCACTCCTCTTTACAAGTTATGTACATGTGCGTATGCTGAAGGTCACTAAAATTGACAAACAGGGTCCGAGTGTTTGGCACCATTTTAAGAGCATTTGATTTTTGTCTCAGCAGATTTCGATTCAAGAGTCGGTTTTCAAAATTACAAGGCTTTGGCTGGAGATAATTATTGGGCTCTTGCAGGCATGGTTTTTAACCACAATTCAGATTCACATAAAGAACGGATTTCTGTCATACTCGTGTATAAAAGACTTGTTTTTCCACCAACTGGAACTGAAGGCATTAAACTAAACACAGTACCTGGACACGTGCGTAAGTATGGACAACTGAACAAATAGTCCTGGCTGTAAACAGGTCCCTGAGCAGACCACCCTACTTAGTATCTTGTATCTAGAAAATAATGTAGCTAAAAGGGGGAGTTAGCCGAGAGGTGGTTGAGGATTCATCACTTCAATTACTGGCTAATGGTCGGTAGTCTGGCAGGGCTCTCCATTCCTCTATGGTAAGGTGCTTCTGCGGTTGGTTGGGAGTTTCCATGAGATAACTGGGCAGACAGTTTGTGTGGGAGATTTGGAATGGGTTTGCATGGCTTTGGGTTAAGGTTATCTTTATATAAGTCATTTTGTCCTTTGTGGTGATGTTATCTTTGCCACTGAGTGCTCAACGGAGCATTGCTATTGGATGCCTCATAACCTCTTATTCTTTCTTATTCTGGTTACAATGTGTATAGTCAATTAACACAAGTTTCAATACGTCTATTAGTGGAAGTACAAAAAAACATCCAAATTGATCGTGACAATCAACTATTCACTTCATTGAGCAACTTATTAGCACGACTCAGCCTCCGCTTGTAATGTTAGTGATAGAAAGCTTTCACCTTCTCTCTGTATTTTCATGTGTGTAGCACTGTATTTACTGTTTTGTGATTCCTTTTGGTTTACATAGCCCCCTAATACAAATGCCCCTAGATGATGTAATATGAAATTTCTGGTTAGATACAGGGTAATACATCGTAATGTACTCCTCATACATATATATACTACGACTTACTTTTTGAGGGTGTAAGTTATAGAAGAAGTTTGTTTAAGAGCTGGTGCTAATTAATAGTACAGTAGCCTATTTGGTATATACATGTAACTTATATCGTTGTACATGTAGCCATATTGTTGTAATGCATGTGATGTTGTAATGTGGACCTGGCAAGGTAAGCGTGTCACGTTTAAGTGGGTAGATCCCACCCACTTGAGCAGGAAAGCATAGCATAGACAACCTCCTGGTATATTATATGATGTCACAAAGATGATGTAATGTGTCAACAATTGTGTGTTCCTCCTTGGAAAGTACCTTTGCCCTACATTACAATGTGCAAGGGTCACTGACATCATTGCAGTACCATGAGCTCATTGCACCTTTCTCTGTGTAGTATGCTTAGTAGGATTAATTAAAACCCTTTGGATGCCATGGGTATCTCCTTAAATAAGCAGAAATTGATGTATAACATATTAACGCCTAGTAATTATATCCATATATAAATTCTTATGGGGTGTGGACATATATTATATGCCCGTGGAGTTAAGTTGTTCCTAACTGTTCTCCTCAGATGGACGGTGGAGGGAGATCTCTGTCACAAGACAAAACACAATATACCTCCAGTCACCCAAGTCAGCTAAGTTGTACACTGTATATACTTTGTGATTTTATACATGCACGTTATATACATACGACTGTAGGTAGGTATGTGGTTATAATTAAATATTTTTGTACATGCATAATTGGTGTGCAAGAGCTACATTAAGAGAATGCACCTCCAAACAAGTTTTATGATGCGGTTTCGATCCCCTTTCATAATGGGCGAGAGTCACATCCAACCCCTAGCGTGAATTTTTTGGTTGCTAGGCAACAGCTACCACCTTAGTTGTGTAAGCCCCTTTACAAACCATTTCATAGCGTCTGAGTGGGTGGAAACCCTGAAGGTATAAATCCTTGGTTACCTAGGGGACCCCCGAATTTACTGCGGTTGTGTGTCCTATTTGTACTGCACTTTACTCCTCAAGATCTCTCCCTGTACGTCAGTTCAGCCTAGTCTTGTACCCAGGCTTTTTGGGGTGGAGAGAGAAAGCCTGGGATAACTGACATTGCGCAATATGGCGTAATTACAGCTCCTATAGCATGTGCACCAAAGGGACATGTATGGAATTTGATTACTGAAATAGACAATTTACTGGTCCATCTGATCGCTCTAATTTATAAAGTGTAGCCATTGCGAGCTCTATTGGACGCCTTTCTATTCAATCTTGCACTGCTGGGAGTTACCCTGGTAGCTCAGTTGGTAGAGCGCTCGCCTAGACTGCAGTGTCGTGGGTTCGAATCCCACCCAGGGCAACTCCTTTGGTTGCTAGGCAAAGAAAGAGCTGTCTTGGGTGTAGTTGACTTATTTGTCTTGCCTTGCCTTTCTACCTCGCTACCAAGTTGTTGAGACATGTAATAGATATTTAGTGCATAGCTGATTTAAATCGAGCAATCTGATTGGTTCACACGAGGTACTTGATTTCCCGTAGTATACCTGGGACGCTATGCCCAGTACTCGTGTCATCATGCCACAGAGGTATGTACCTACGTACATGAAAATACCCCAGTCTCAGAAGGACAAGCAAACAACGACCAGCAGGCTCTTATCCCCTTCCGTAGGCTAAATCCCTGATGCCTAATGGTAGCAGGAAATCTGTAAGTATACATGCCAGCTAGCTATGTATGTGTTAATAGTACTCATGAAATGGGGAATGCTGCATGCGGCAGGAAACGATGCATTCCCCTTACGTAATCCTCAGCCTATGAATTACATCACAATACAAACATTACACCTGGCAGTCTGTGTGTGTCAAATTACTTTCATTGTTATGTAGAAGGGGAATTATTAATGCGTACAATGATGCTGCATGCAGTAAAATAACCATTACTCTGCACAATAACTTGTACATATGCAGCAAGTAGCAATCAACATGTGTACAACCATGTCTTATATACCAACAAACACAGTGCTAGTAATATTTGTTCTGGAACAAGCTAGAGCATTATTGAGTTTAGTCGACATTGTTTCCCATCAGAAGTCCCCGGTGCTACAGGAGCTGGTGTTGATCCTCTGACAGCCCAAGGCATCACAAACAAGCTACAGCTACAGTCGCGAAGTCCTTTCGTCAGTTCCCTTGGAGAGTCGGACTTGAAACAACAGCATGCTGCACAGTCAGCCAACTCTGGCGTTCTACAGCGGCAGGCGATGTCGCAAGTAAATCAACCATCGCTCTTCACTGGCTCCGTGTTCCATGCCAACTGCCATGCACGGCTACCTGCCACCCAACACTGCTGATGACACTCTGTCTTCGAGGGGAGGTCTTTCTCTCCACTCAAGCGGTCCACAGTCACACGGTAGTAGCCACAGTTCCTTTACCTCAGAGTTATCAAGCTACAATGGCTCGAGTTCAGTGGAACCACTCGTCTATCATTCTACCATGCAACCTCAGGGAGCGACTGGGGAATACCCTGCCCATTACACTCAAATGGGTGCAGGTGGCAGCAGATACAATGCTTCAGGTGGGTATATGGCACCGAGCAATGTCGGGTCGAGATTACAGGGGCTGGGCAGCATCCACCCACACATGTCACACTACCAACCAGTCCCCTACAGTGCTGCCCCCTCTCCCATTGCTTACAGTAGTAGTGGAAGAGTCGTCCCCCAAGACTATCCATACCATTCACAGTTGCAACAACAACAGGCAATGTACAGTACACACCACTCACTGCACTACGGACAGCCAGAAGCACAGACTTACAACTACGAGACTCAGAGGGCTCCACCTGCAAACCACTACGGACAAAATGTGCCGATTGATGCCCAGCAGTATGAACCAGGCTACACAGTACCTGCCCCAACTCCTGTGAACTATCATTCACCATACTCTAGCCCATTTTCTTCTGGGGTCCCTTCAACTCCCTATCAATACCAACACCACAGCCTAGCCCCCAGCAGTGTGCCTTACAGCGCTCAAAAGCGGAAGTCAACCATTGTCTGCATCACAGAGTTACACTGGCCCTCCAAATGAGTATGCCCCTACGTCAATACCCTATCATCCCCTACAAAGTTCCTCATCAGTATCGTCCTCAGATTGGAACAGCAGACCTTCAAACGGGTATCCAACGCACCAGTATCCTTCCGGAGTCCATCCAGTGTTCACGCCAACACACTCACCACCGCAGCCTCAAGGGCAGCTCCCACAAGGAGCCAGTCATCAACCCGTGCACCAAACCCAGTATTCACACTACACGCCGTCGTCGCATGCCCAGTTCTCTTCCAACTTTACTCCGTCTTTGGTGCAGAGACCAACGCCTCAACACTCCAAAGGTGCCTACTATCCAGCAGTACATGGGAGTGACGGAGACGAGGACCGGCCCCAGGGAGCAGATGTAGCAGGTGTCAGTGGGAAACTTGGGGGTTATGGTGGGTCTAGTGCCGGCGGGGAAATTGGTCTTGCACAGGGTTTTGAAAAATTAAAGCTTCAGTCGCAAACGCAGGATGATAAATCCAGCTCTGGGAAGCAACCTCTGAGCTCGGAGTGTGGCAGCTACAAAACCGCTAACTACAGTTGGAGCAATGATGATGATAGTGAAAGGACTTGTTCCTCGTTCATTTCGGGAGGGCTGGGCAGCCGGCAAGAAAAACTAGAAGACAAGACGGGATTTCTCCCAAAGACATCAATAGAGTTTCTCGAACAGCCTCGCGATTCCACCGTCGGTCTAAACGGCACCCTGAAATTGACGTGCAGAGCACGGATAATTGGGTCTAAATTAGAGGAGGAACCCGATTATCTGTGGTACAAGGACGGTGAGCCACTGGTGGGGGAGATAAGTGGGGAATGCGTGGTGGAGAACGTTGGGGAGGGAGAAGGTGGGCGATATTTCTGCCTGGTGTCTCATCCAGACGATCAAAGAACCTCTCTGAAATCCCAGATCGCTGTTGTTACTATCAGGACAAGTGGAGGTGTGTTTCTATTAGAGAGAGTTTCATCTCTACATACACCCCTTCTGAGTCTGCATGCATTAGCCTATGTTTCTTGTTGTAAATTGCCCTCTTGCTCTTTCCCCAGGCACTTGCCAAATTCCCCCTGTTATCCCATAAGTACTTACCCTATGCAAAATCATCCCATTTTGGAAGGATTTGGGTCAAATCCCCTTTCCGTTTTCCAGGAAAACTCCTTTAAACAGACTTAGACATAGTTCATTTTGCTTGTTTCTCTGTACTTGGCTTGCTGCCAAATTCGTTAGCAATTGTTTCTCTGTTTATATAATATGGCCGTAGATACACGAGCTCCAGTGCTGACCCACCAGCCTGAGGCCTATGTAGAGGCAGTCAAGGGGGAGCCACTAGTCCTGACCGTAGTAGCAGAGGGAGAAGGCCCCCTGAGGTACAAGTGGTTCAAGGGGACGCGGGAGCTCCAGTACTGCAGTGGGAACATTGTGAGAGTGACTGCGTGTAGCTCTCTGGACAGCGGCCAGTACTGCTGCACAGTGTCAAATGACTACGGGAGTGTTCTGAGTGACGTAATCCTGGTGAAGGTCGTCCTACAGAGAACCATCCCACCACCTCGCTCCAGTAGGTTAAAAAGTTGTGCATTACGATAATTATCGTATACCGTTGAAAGAATAATTATGTTTTATGGCTATGTGTGTCATTTTGCTTGTTTAAGGTCTGCTATCACTTCCTTTTCCAGGCCCAAGCCGCAAAAGATGTTCGTCGAATCCCGATGGTAAATAAATGACGCTTGTGCCAATAATCTCTGTCTCCATCGAATAAAGCCTGGCATGTATGCATGTAGGAGTTTCTTTGCATTATGTAACAGCTCTGAACATTTCCATCAGTTTTCCTTCTCTA